TTTTAGGTAGGCGTGGTTGACTCTTAACTTTTATAAAGAATATCTCTTTGGGTTTGAGACTTTAGTCTTTGCAACTTTACAGATCTTCTTTATGCACCAAGAGCTTGTAACACTCCAAAGAGAAAGGAAAAATTGAAATCGCATCATATGACCCCTTTAATGTCCGGTTCTTCTATTAGTAGTAGCTTAGTAGTAGTAGTAGTACGCTAACCATCCATAAAACACAATCCAGATGGAGGGACTACAAGGAAAGAATGCAAAACACGTGACAAGATAATACAGATAAAAAAGAGGAAAAAAAACTTTTCATTGGGCTGGATCAGGTGAGTTGTGCAACTTCTGGAGTTTTGTATGAAGATGGTGCGGAGGATAGAACTTCCTGTCTCGTTATGAAACCATTGAATGGGCAACACAATGTACCAACAAGCTCTCAAGAGATCGAATTTCATTTAAACCTGAAGGGCTTCACACACACATATATACAGGAAGATCAAACCTCTGTCTTTCTTCCTTTCCTCCAGTATTTTCGTCTCTCAGTTTCCATCTGACTGTTAAATGCAGCGCTCCTGCAGTTCCTGTAGCAGCCATGAGAGGTCGCGCTCTATCGCACAAATTCACTCAACAAGAGCTCGACTATCCACCTAGAGAAGACGGGGCTAGTTGTCACAAGAGCGACAACTATAAGTGATTAGGCTATATGTTATAACATAAGTATAACAAGAGTATGACTATAAGGTTTTGATCTAAAAGTCCGCTTACTCGCTGATTTTGTATGTTGGTTGCAAACATCTAATAGAAATAATAATAATCTCAAAAATGACAACATGAATAGGCTACTACAAAAGGTAAAGAAGTGAACACAACACCACACTGGATAAATTCAGGCAAATGACCACTATTTAACATAATTTTTTATTTGTTTTTACAATTTGTTTGGCTAATTTAGTATTATTTGTTCATGTTTACATTTTGCTGAATAGCCTATAAACTATTTGTTGTTCAACCTAGTGTGAAAATGTGCCTTTAGCACGGCATGTTGACGCAAAAGGTCAATATGTTAATATGTTTTTAGTTAACTGTACCTGTTTTAGAATTGAAACAGAAATAGAAATATTCAATTGCTTTTTAAGTCTAGCCTCAGACTTCTCTGCAGACATTATAGCGTTCTACACCTTCTCCCTAAAGCTGATTTCAGCAAGTCTGTGAAATGTGTGTTGGTTTCCGTCACAGGAGTCGGAAACCACAAGAGAGTTTTGACGGAGTGACTCAAGGCCATGAAATAAAAAGCTGAAAGCTCAGATGGTCTCTCTCAGTATGTATTTTCCAAGGCTTAACTCACTCTGATGTGGTCTTGTTAAAGTTTCTGCAGCGCCAGCAAGGTTTTATATGGGTTTATGATATTAATTAATGTCAAAGCACAAGGTCATAAGACCGCCGTTAGGTAAAGTAGAAACTATTAAGTGCTTACTGACGTTGGTAAAGCTCTGACAGATATAAAATGGTAAAGGCCTGTATAACACACGTACAAGCCAAAAACGTCACACAAGCCAGAACTCACTCATAAAGTGTGCACAATACCATGATGGAGATCCATTACTCACTGCTGAATTAAAGCAATCTGCGATGGTGCACATGCTCGTTTCTTTTTATGTATGAATATATTCAATTCAAGGAGAGTCAGTTCCAGTCTGTTCCTACAGAAACATAGGTCAGGATCCCTGGAGAACTGAGCACAAAGATCAAAAATGAATCTGCCGTCTGTCTCAAGTGTTCAGGCATCTCATCCGATATCCTGACGATTTGAGAATGCATGAGGACATTCCATTAAACCATTCATCTGTCATCACCCACTATAGGATACTTTTAGCCTGAATAACTACAGTATCTCCAGGCTAACACCCTGAGATCTTCTCTTAGCTTCTTCTAACACCCTCTCCACTTAAAAATGATTTGTTAGAAGTGAAAAGAAAACTTGGGTCACACTTCTCAGTAGATGTGCACAGTCCACTCCTTACTGGAAATCCTATCAGCGTAACATCAGAGTGATTAGTACGAATTATTCCAAGGCTAATTATTCCCAGAACTCTCTAACAAATGTCTTTCAACCACGCGAAACACTTAAGCAATGCCCTAGCAACCACTCAGAGCACCCTAGCAACGTTTTATCTATCTATCTATCTATCTATCTATCTATCTATCTATCTATCTATCTATCTATCTCTGCAACCGATAAGAAGACTTTAGCAACCATATCAATGCCCCAGCAACCAATAA